CGTGCACCCCGTCCACACCCACAAAGTGTGAAGCGGGCACCCCAGTGAACCCGCCCCCTGAAGCTTGGAGCATGCGCGATGTGGACCAGCGCCTCAGTCTGAGTGCCAGCAGGATGATAACAAAGGCGAGAAAGACGCAGGAGACCACAGCCACTGCCACCACCAGGTACAGAGTGAGGCCTGAGGCTTCGGAGTCATGAGGGACCTCCAGGCTGCCCAGGTCGGCCAGGACATCTGGGATGCTGTCAGCCACCGCCACCCGGGGTGCCAGCTCCACACCAGTGGACCCGTCGGTGGGGATGGCAGGGTACAGTATTTCGGGTGCATTGTCATTCTGGTCCAGCACAAACAGACTCAGGGACACGTTGCTGCTGAGCGGTGGGTCCCCGCTGTCCTGTGCAGTCACTCTCAATTGCAAGTCACGGAACTGCTCATAGTCGAAGGAGTGCAATGCATACAGGACACCAGTGTCAGGGTTGATGGAGACATAGGAGGATAGAGGCACACCCTGGATGGTGTCTTCATCCAGGGAGTAAGTGACTCTGGCATTCTCGTCACTGTCAGGGTCGTGTGCAGTCACAGTGAAGATGGAAGCACCTCTGGGGTTATTCTCAGGGACATAGACAGAGTAGGCGGAGTGGGGAAAGGAAGGTGGGTTGTCGTTGGTGTCTGACACCTTTATGGAGATGTGAGTTTCTGTGGACAAGGGCGGGGATCCACCATCTGTGGTTTTCAGCGTGATGTTGTACACAGAGAGTATTTCTCGGTCTAGGTGTTTTGCTGTCACCAATCTATAATAATTGTCTATTGATCTTTCTAACTTGAAAGGTAGATTTTCTGAAATAGTGCAGGTCACCTCACCGTTCTTTCCGGAATCTCGGTCTTGAAAGTAGAAAAGAGCAATTACTGTTCCAGGCGGTGTATCTTCAGGGATTGAGCTGCTTACAGATGTTATAGTCACTTCTGGGGCGTTGTCATTCACATCTAAAATGGTGACCCGTACTTTAGCCCTTGTCATACTACCAGGACCGTCCTGAGCCTGAACTTCCATTTCATAGTAGCTGGATTCTTCATAATCTAGGCTTTCTAAAGTTGATAGTTCTCCTGTGTGGGAGTTCAGTTGGAATATCTGTAGAATTTTTGGAGTTATTTTCCAAAAAGAGTATGTCACTTCCCCATTGACTCCCTCATCGAGGTCAATAGCATTTACTGTGAGCAGTCTTGTGCCCACCGGCACATTCTCAGGGACAGTGACTTGGTACTGAGGCAAAGAGAAGACTGGCGCATGATCATTCACATCCAACACTACCACTTGGATGCGGGCGGTGCCAGATAAGGGTGGGTCACCACCATCAGAGGCTGTGAGGAGGAGGTGGTGAATCGCCTCTTCCTCCCGGTCCAGCACCCGCTCCAGCACTAACTCCGGATACTTAGTTCCGTCCTCTCCAGTTTGCACAAGCAGGGAGAAGTGGCGATTGGGGCTGAGCTGGTAGCTCTGGAGGGAGTTCGTGCCCACATCCGGATCCCTAGCCTCTTTTAACGGAAACCGCACCCCAGGGGCTGTATTCTCCATTATTTTTACATTCATTTCTTCCGTCAAGAACCTAGGAGCATTGTCATTAACATCCATTATTTCCACTTCTATAGGGTAAAGATTCATTTTATCTTCTATCAGGATGTTAAAACTCACCAGACACCGCGCGCTCTGAGCGCAGAGCTCCTCCCGGTCTATCCTGCCCGCCGTGACCAAGCTGCCAGTTCTCTTATTCAGAGCGAAAAGCTGCGTCCTACCTCTGGAGACGATGCGGACTCCGCGCTCCGCCAGCTCCTGGGCCTCCAGCCCCAGATTCTTGGCGATATTACCCACAAAAGACCCTTTGTCTGTCTCCTCCGGCACGGAATAGAGGATGTGTCCTGCCCAAGCTTCGCTCCGGGTCCCCAGGAGGATGGAGAGCAGGATGAATCCTCTGTAATTCCGGCCCCTCTCCGGAGCCGCCATTGTCCTGCAGATCATTAGACCCTGGGCTACCTCCTGTTGTGTTTCCGGATGTTTCCTGGAACGCTCTGTATTCGGAAAAGGAGCCCCAAATCCAGCAGAATATGGGTCTGAGTTTGATGTCCCTTGGAAAAGAGTTTGTCTCAATCTGGCGTTTCGTTGTGCTGTGAAAGCTCGGTAGTTCCGGCGGATCTTTCTCCTGGTTGGTGAACAGCGGCGCTCAGAGTCCTTACTGTGTTACTGCACCATATTGAAGGCAAAATAATTGCTTTCTCAGAAAAGTTGTTTTAGCCTTCAAAATTCTTCCGTTTATATTTCTTCAATCCAAAAACATGAATTTTAAGAAACTGTGAATTGATGCAACAATGTTCATGGATGAGTGTTTATTAGTCCCTAATGATTTTTGAAAATTCCTTGGTTTGCTTTTCAACTTTGAAATGACTCTTGGATACTGCCTCACACTTTATTTATTGCACATAGAGAAAATCAGCCATTGCAGGCGAAAAAAATGATTTGTTTTAAAAAGGTGTGTGTATACATAAGAAATATGTTGTATAGAAACTGTTTACATTAGAGTAAAATTTATTTTATTTTTTTAAAGAATTTTTTTGCTCTTTAATCCTCACCGGAGGATATATTTTTACTGATTTTATTTTATTTTTTATGTTTTAATATTTTTATTTATTTAAGAGAGGAAGGTAGAGGGAGAGAGAGATAGAAACATCAATGACGAGAGGGAATCACTGGTTGACTGAGAAACATCAATGATGAGAGGGAATCATTGGTTGACTTCCTCCTGCCTGCCCCACACTGGGAATCAAGCCCACAATCCTGGTATGTGCCCGCACTGGGAATTGAACTGTGACCTCCTGGCTCCACTGAGCTATGCCAGCTAAGCAAAACAAATTTAAATTAATTAAATACTATTGAACACATACTATGCGCTAGACACCTCCATGTAAACCTCAGAGAGTCAAATTTGTCTTTAAATTATGAAGAGGTAGTTTAATAAAACTTTTGATTTGATTAAACTTTGGAGATGGTTTAGTCCAATACCTTCGTTTTAATGATTTAAAAAATTAGAGGGAATTGCCTTTGTCTTGGACTATGTAGTAGTAAGACCTGTGTCGAAATATAGATATCCTCACTCCCTTTCTTCTGAGAAAAAAAGAGGAATAATTGTTGGCCTTAACCGATGATTTATGCTCAAAAAGTGCCATTGGAGAAGAGAAGCTAAGCAGCAACAGTCAGTTATAGAAGCAGCTTATTTGGGACAGAAGGCCAAAGTAAACAGAGGTTCTACTGGTTGTGGATTCATAAGAAAATGCATGTTGGCTTGACTGCTTCTTTTCATTATGCAATTCAAATAATCATCCTACCCTACTCCAGAATAGTTAAAGAAAGGCGGGTCTCTAGACAGAGAGCCTTTGAGCACGCATGCAGGACTGTCCTGAAAGGATCCTTAGAGGTTCTCATTTCTCCACCTACGTTAATGAAACAAAACGCAATTCCTGATGGATCTGAGGTTACACTGAGCTGGTAGAAATAAAACACAGTCCCTTCCATATAGTTGCAGGAGAAAAGAAAGTAACCAGTTTTGGAACGAAGATCTAGCAAGACATGGCCTTGCTTTGTAAATTATCTTAAGCCCCCATGGTAGTAGCTAGCAAGACCAGGAGGAGGAACTAGAGGTGACATCAAAAATGCTTAGCTGAGTTGGTGTTCTCTGATGGCATTGCTCCAAAATATAGGTAATGCTTTGAATGAAATGCTGTTTCAATTTATCAAAAATAACTCAGTCATGTTTGTTTTTACCAAGCAGGTAAAAGAACTTTTGTTCAAAGGAACCAATATGAGTATTACAGATTAATTTCAAAAACAGGAGTTAAATACTTTTTGTTTAGTAGTAATTTTGAACTTCTCGCTCATGTAAGCAAAGCATATGGTCATAAAAAATCATGAGTACTTGCAGACATGTGCAAACACAACTTTCATGTCTGGATATTATGGCTCCCAATGCCGTGATTTTTTTTAAAAATCTGATATTTCAAAACTCATAGTGTCACCTCATATTTGTCTCTTATTCTACTATTTCATTAAAGTCTCAATTAACTTTACTTCTGGGCACCTTCTTTGGAGTTAAATATATAATATTTAGACAAATGAGATTATACACATACTCGGAAAATAAAGCATACATTAGAAATTAAATGGCTGTATCATCTCTAGTATCAAGTTTTCTAAGTTATTTTACAACATAAAATTAAATATTAAGAATGTCTACCAGAGTATCACAATATGTTTAAATATAACAAGCCTACAGTGTAAAGTCAAAAGAATTCTTTAGTTTTAAAGGGAGTATGCTATTATTGACTTAGTTTTGGGGCAGAATCTTGACCTTCATTTGTTTACTTGCATTAAAAATTATATGGAGCCGAAACCGGTTTGGCTCAGTGGATAGAGCGTCGGCTTGCGGACTGAAAGGTCCCAGGTTCGATTCTGGTCAAGGGCATGTACCTGGGTTGCGGGCACATCCCCATAGGAGATGTGCAGGAGGCAGCTGATCGATGTTTCTCTCTCATTGATGTTTCTAACTATTTCTCTCCCTTCCTCTCTATAAAAAATCAATAAAATATATTAAAAAAATTATATGGAAAGTCTACTTGACTTCCCAGGCATTGAGTTATCTTCTCCCCTTTCTTTATGAAACTTTTAAAAAATTGAAAAACCATTTGTTTGGACTTCTGTTTAGGTGTCATTTCCAGTCAAAGATATAGGTATTTTCCAATGATTCTAAGATTTTACTGCTTCCCCTTTGATAACTGCCACTTCAACAGAAGTTTGATCAGAAACTGGCGTTTTTCACAGATGATAAAATAGCCCAATGGTTTGGTACATTTTTCTTGAAGCTTCAAAATTTAGCGCATACTCAAAATCTCAGACTGTCTATCTTATTCATAATAATGTACATGGTGTGTAGGTCAAAGAGCATTATTTAGTCAGAGCTTAGCAAATTCCATGGTTGCCAGGATTGAACACTTGATCAGTTCACATGAATGAATTATTATTGTGAGAGTATCATATGATAATTTTTCTGTCAGTAAAATATTTTATTTAAATGAAATGGTCACAGGTGACTCAGATAAGAGAATAAAATAAACCAGATACTGCCCTGGCTGAGTAGCTCAGTTGGTTAGAGCATCCTCCCAATACACCAAAGTTGCAAGTTCAATCCCTGGTCAAGGCACATATAAGAATCAACCAATTAATGCACAAATAAGTGCAAAAACAAACTATCTATCTATCTCTCATCAGTAAATAAAATATAGACCAGTCTACTATCCCAGTTAGTGAGCAGAGAAGAGAATAAAATAAACCATTGTACTACTATTCATAAAACCACTTAATGAGCTTATAACAATGAAGGTTCAAGATGTAGTTTAAATTATCCAGAATTGGTGATGTAATAAACTATCTAACATTTACAGAGTGCATTCGTAAAAGATACCATCTGACTACCTTGATCAATACCAAAGATTCAAGGGAAATAAAATTGTTATTTACTATTAAATTCTGATTAAAACCATCAAAGAATTATATAAAAAATGTCCACGCAAATCAGCTTTGAAAGTGTGTCTGACGGAAATCTCTTGGTTAGTCATATATTTGGAGTCTTGAAAGAAATAATTCTACAATTGCTGAAGTATAATTACCACAATACTGATTTAGAAAAACATGTATTATACCCTTAGCAGCTAGTTTAAGGACATCAACTCAATCAGTTTTCATGAAGACTGAAAATTTCAGGTTACAGCCGAAACCGGTTTGGCTCAGTGGATAGAGCGTCGGCCTGCGGACTGAGAGGTCCCAGGTTCGATTCCGGTCAAGGGCATGTACCTGGGTTGCGGGCACATTCCCAGTGGGAGATGTGCAGGAGGCAGCTGATCGATGTTTCTAACTCTCTATCTCTCTACCTTCCTCTCTGTAAAAAAATCAATAAAATATATATATTTTTTTAAAAATTTCAGGTTACAAAAGAAATTCTCATTCATTATCAAAGCATCTTCTCAATTGTTTATTTTACTTGTGCAATTGTTTGTTTTAGATGCATAAGTAACCAATCTATTCGTTATCAGATCATGGACTAGTCCAGCTCAGAACTGGAACAGAACTTGACTATCATGTAGTTCAATGACTTATCAAAATATATTATCCCCAGTATTTTATTAATTCCATGGCCATTAACTTAGGTACTTTTTAAGAGTGCCAATAATAGAATCTCCTAATTCCTTAGCAGTCCATTTTCTGATAAAACAACTTTGACATCTCAAAACTTTCCTTTTTTTAATATGTATTTTTATTCATTTCAAAGAGGAAGGAAGAGAGAGAGAGAGATAGAAACATCAATGATGAGGGGGAATCATTGATTGGCTGCCTCCTGCTGGGGATAGAGCCTGCAACTTTCAACCCTAACATGTGTCCTGACGGGAATCAAACTGTGATCTCCTGTTTCATAGGTTGTTGCTCAACCACTGAACCACACTGGCCAGGCTGCTTTTCTTTTTCCTACTCATCAAGCCATAGTTTCAGTCACATCTTTGGGCCACAGTGAATTAGACTAATTATTCTTTTAAATGACAACCCTTTGTTCCTTAAATATTTGAACAGTTTCTACATGACAGAGCCTTATTTTATCTGGGTTACATTTGCTAATTATTTAAATTCTTAGTTGAACATTATTAAGTCTTTATTCTCACATTCATTAGTCACATCTCTATTTTTAGAGTTGTATCCTGTGACACTATGAGCATATTTTAACATTAACTTTCTCTTAAAAATTATTTAGAGAGAGAGGAAGGAAAGAGAAACATGGATTTGTTGTTCCACTTATTTATGCATTCATGGGTTGATTCTTATATGTGTCCTGACCAGAGATTGAACCCACAACGTTGGCTATGGGGACGATGTTCTAACCAACTGATCTGCCAGGGCTAATTTTCATTTATTTATTTATTTAAATATATTTTTTATTGTTGATAGTATTACAGATATCTCCTATCCCCCATTTTCATTTTTAAATATTTCCCCATATTTTCTGTGAGGTACATAAGAAAAGTCTTTTTAATTTAATTTTTACTTTGAGGACTATTGATATTGTGACTGGCCCAAGATGAAAAACAGATAGTTCCAAAGATATTAAGGTAGTTCCAAGGATATTCAGATAGCCCCAAGGATATTCAGGTCTTCAAACACCAAAGATCTGGTCTTCTTAATTACTTTAATCTTTTATATAAATAATTTTTTATTACTAAGTAGTAAGGGGGGAAATCTCTCACAGATCTCCATAATTTCAGAAAATACTCACTATTAATTAAAACTGGGGGGAAAAAACAAGAAGTTGAGCTTCTTTTTAAAAACCTGCAATTTAGTTTTCACATTAGAACAAGAATCTCAGAAATGTCACATAATGGAAAAGAAATATCTAAGAAATGAGATGTATGTAACCAAAGGCACAAAGAGCTGGCCAAGAGGAGAAAAGTAAAAGAAAATCCAAGGCATACATTGTTAAGATTATTTCGATAAAATTAGAGAAAACGAAGATAGAGCTCTATTAACAAAGAAAAAATGTTATAAAAATTATATAATTCACTGCAAAATACTAAAAAGACTAAGCTCTGATCAAATAGAATTTTTAAATTTTCTGTTCAAATAAAACCAATAAAAGCAATAATCTCACCTGAACAAGGGATCCTTCCTCTTTACAAAAACCTGAATCTTCCTGAAGCAAAAGAGGATCGCTTTTCTCACAGCTCTCCTGGCTGATGAGCGTGTCTGCATAGTTGGGCTGGGGGAAGATCAGGTGACTCTTCCGAGAGTCAGCAGTGAGGCAGACCTCATGGGAGTAGGTCTGCAGGAAAGCCCGCACCCCGTCCACGTCCATAAAGTGCGAGGCAGGTACGCCCACCAACCCACCTCCAGAACCCTGCAGATGGCGTGACGTGTGCCAGCGCCTGAGCCTGAGTGCCAGGAGGATGATGACAAAGGCGAGAAAGACGCAGGAGACCACAGCCACTGCCACCACCAGGTACAGAGTGAGGCCCGAGGCTTCGGAGTCATGAGGGACCTCCAGGCTGCCCAGGTCGGCCAGAACATCTGGGATGCTGTCAGCCACCGCCACCGTGAGTGTGACAGTGGCCGAGAGAGGGAGCTGGCCATGGTCCTGAACTGCCAGGGTACAGTATTTCGGGTGCATTGTCATTCTGGTCCAGCACAAACAGACTCAGGGACACGTTGCTGCTGAGCGGTGGGTCCCCGCTGTCCTGTGCTGTCACTCTCAATTGCAAGTCACGGAACTGCTCATAGTCGAAGGAGTGCAATGCATACAGGACACCAGTGTCAGAGTTGATGGAGACATAGGAGGATAGAGGCACACCCTGGATGGTGTCTTCACCCAGGGAGTAAGTGACTCTGGCATTCTCGTCACTGTCAGGGTCGTGTGCAGTCACAGTGAAGATGGAAGCACCTCTGGGGTTGTTCTCAGGGACATAGACAGAGTAGGCAGAGTGGGGAAAGGAAGGTGGGTTGTCGTTGGTGTCTGACACATGTAGAGTGATCAAGGTTTCTGTAGACAGAGGTGGCACCCCTTTGTCTGTGGCTGTCACAGTGATATTGTACAGGGATACCTGTTCTCGATCTAGAACTGTATTGGTCACTAATCGATAATAATTGTCTACTGACTTTTCTAGCTCAAATGGCAGACTTTTTGAGATAGAACATGTTACCAGGCCATTCAGTCCAGAGTCACGGTCATACACTTGAAAAAGAGCAATTACTGTTCCTGGAGGAGTGCTTTCCACAACGGACTTGCCTCCAGATGTGACGACTACTTCTGGGACATTATCATTCACATCTAAGACAGTTATTAAGACTTTTGCTCTGCCTTGTAGACCTGGCTGATCCCGAGCTTCAACCTCCAGCTCATAAAAGCTGGAATCCTCATAGTCTAGATTTGCAGAAATTGATATTTCTCCAGTGAAAACATTCAAGCAGAAAATCTTTGAGACCTTTTCTGTTATTCTCACAAAGGAATATGTTACTTCTGCATGGACCCCTTCGTCCTGGTCGGTGGCATTTACTGACAACAGTGGTGTCCCTATTGGCAGATTTTCAGGAACACTCACAAGGTAGACAGGCCGAGTAAACACTGGAGGATTATCATTCGCATCTAGGACAGTTACCAGAATTCTCGCGATGCCTGAACGGACAGGGTCACCTCCATCCATGGCAGTAAGAACCAAGTGGTGAATAGACTCTCCCTCCCGGTCCAGAGCGTGCTCCAGCACCAGCTCCGGGTATCTGGGCCCATCAGTTTCACTTGACACGTCCACTGAGAAGTGACTACTCCCGCTGAGCCGGAAGCCCTGAAGAGAGTTCACTCCCACATCCGGGTCAGAGACCTCCACTAGTGGAAAACGGGAGGATGGGACTGCGTTTTCAAGAATTTTCACTTCCAATTCTTCCCTTAAGAATTGGGGTGTATTGTCATTAATGTCCACTATTTCCACCTCTACGGGATAAAGATTTAATTTGTCCTCAATGAGGATGTTAAAACTCACCAAACAACGCGGGCTCTGAGCGCAGAGCTCCTCCCTGTCTATCCTGCCCGCGGTGACCAAGCTGCCTCTTTGAGGATTCAGAGCGAAAAGCTGCGTCCTACCTCTGGAGACAATCCTGGCTCCGCGCTCCGCCAGCTCCTGGGGCTCCAGCCGCAGATCTTCCGCGATGTTGCCCACGAAGGAGCCTTTGTCCAGTTCCTCAGGAATGGAGTAACGGATTGGCCCCGCCGGGACCCCGGCCCCCCACAGCGTCCCCAGGAGCATATAAAGCAGGACAAACCGGCTGTGGTGCCAGCGCCTTTGCAGAGCCGCCATGACTGGCTCCTTATGGACTTCCTTGGAGTGATGCGGAGGCGGAACAGGTTCGCTCTGCTCTTGGGCTGCTCAGAATCAGAGTTCAAGATCCATAAACAAGCAGAGTTCCGACGCGAGGCGTTTTAGGTCAGAATTTTTGCGCAGCTGCAGAGCTTTTGTATCTGATCTGCTTTGTGCTTGGAGGATATAACTGGAGCTCTCTTTGCTTTCCTTACCCGGGTTAGTGAACAGCGACGCTTAGAGTCCTAACTTAATACTGCATCGTATTTGTGAAAAGATCATAGAGAAGATCTGAATTCAGCTAAATCTGCATAGATAGCACTCATAAAATTTCTCTCCCCAAGAGTGAGAAGCATTTGGAAAAATAAAAGAGCCTATTTTAATAATTTTAAATGCTCCCTGGAATTTACCATTCATTTTTGTGGTGCTATCTCTTATGGCCTTGAAGAACAGATTATTACACTTTTCTGTAAATCTTTAATTATCACACCCCACCGCAATTTGTATTTGTCCCATTTTCAATAAGGGAACCAACAACCACAAACATATTTGAACCAATTCACCCACTGACAGTTAAGTGTTGTCATTTAAAATTTTTCATTATCTATTTTAAATTAAAATGTAAATTAAGCCCTAGTTTAGCCAATATCTGTGTACACTTTTTAAAACATGCAAACAAAGTGAAAATAGATGGGCTACAATGAAAAATATTATATATTATAGAGTATAGGGTATATATAAACCACAATTTAGGACTGACTGCATTGAAACTAAGAAAAACACTTAATTGTCTGGATTTATGTTTAATTATATATAGCTAATGTGTCTCACAATGAGAGTGTGAGGTACAAATGTATTAAAAATGTTTCAGGATATATTGTTTTAGGATTAACAAAAATTTCAAGACCATCACAAGGTGACTTTGTATGAAAGAACAACTGCAACACAGATAAACAAAGAATTTCCAACACCTCATTGTACGCCCTCCAAATCAATAAAACACAAAATCAAGATATGTTTAGCCGGTGCACTTTTTACCTCTAAAATAATGAATTGAAACCTAATCATACTTACGGGAGGAGAGAGTTTTGAAGTAACTCACCTGTTGCAACTTGACTGAATCAGGTGTCATCTGGGGATTATCATTACGGGGACTCTCAAACCAAGAGGCTGCATCACATAGAAGATCTTGTGGTGGAGCATTTTCAGGGTTTATATTGACAAATTTAAACTCAGTCTTGGAGGAGTGTGAGGCAGCGCATAAATTGTAGGAATAGGGCAAAGTCCCGTCGCCGTAGTTGGGGAAAACCCCAGGTCCAGCCTTGGAGCAGACGCCACCTGTCTGAAAGCAACTCCAGGCAGCGGGGCTGGAGGAGCGTCGCAGGGTCAGGGCAGTCGCCAGAATCACCGCGAGGAGGAAGAGCACGGAGATCAAGGCCAAGGCCACCACCAGATAGAACTGCAGCTCAGCCTGGGGGTCAGAGGATGCTGGTTGGTCACCGAAGTCTGGCAGTACATCCTGCAGGTTATCAGCAAAGACCAGGTGCAGCGTAGCGGTGGCTGAGAGGGGTGGCTGGCCCCCGTCCCGCACGGCGACCAGC